TAGATATAATAACATATCTTGATATTATAAATTCTCAAATATTATTATATTTTGAAGACTTACTTAATACGTTATAAATTCAAAATATCAATAGGAAATTATTTTAAAAGATTATTAGATTATTAAATTTTTGTTCGCTCATAGTAGCACCCCACATTTGGTATCAGAGCAAAAGGATCTATAGACAACCTATAAAAATCATAAAAATTAAAATAAATTTCATAAGAAAATGAAAATTGAAGATTTAGGTAATAAATACAAGATAATAAGAGAAACTTTTAACATAATAATTATAAAACCAATATTAAATAATAAAATTGTAACAATTATATTAAAAATACTTGAAAAATTACTTATGGAAATAAAACACGCTGAGTTCGAGGTATCATCACCAGCATCGTCGTCCTCGACCTCCACGTCTTGCTCAGATGTTGCTTCCCCGGACTCCGAAAGCTCGAGGTCCTCAGCAATATCAGGGATGCCTTTGAAGTCCATGGGCTTCACTTCTGGTCGCAAGCGTATGAATGCCCGAGCTTCCTTAAGTGCATGAAAGTACAAGCCCATGGCATACTCGCCCCTCAACGTCTTGAACTCCTGGAATGGCTTGAAGTCCTCGATGGAGACATCTCGAGATTCCATTAACTTGCCCTCAAAATCTTTTTGAGCTCGTTCCATCTCGAGCTTCATCTCTTCGACCTCATCCTGGTAAGCGCCGACCTCGTCCCGAGCCCTTTTAAGGTCATCCCTGGCCGCGTAGCGCTCTTTCTCGAGAAGGGCACGCTCAGCCCTAGCCTCATCGCTCTCCTTCGCAAGAAGGGCACGCTTTTCGAGAAGGCCAGCTAATTTCTGGGACTCGTCAGTACCCTTCAATGAAAGACCCCGGGCCACACTTAAGGCCTAAAAAAATGCATCATAAGAGATCGACGAGATATTAAGAAATTAAAAAGAGTTTTTGAGCTTACCTTTGTCAGTAAGTCCTCGACCATCTTCACGCCCTCGTTAGGACCAAAATCTCTCCGATACTTATTTATAATGGTCGGGATGAGGTGGCATACCTCATGGTCCTCGGGATGACTGGACCATTGAGAGACCTCTTCATCCTTGAGATCCACGACGTCTGTCCCAACTCGAGGAGGTGGGGGTCCCTTGAAGTGCCCTGAGGAGTGGGGCGAGCAGGAGTAGTCCTCACGCCGTGCGAAGTCATTTGTGATCTCGGTGACTCTCCGGGACCACTAGCAGTGTTCTCATACCTCGTGTCTCGAGGTCGTTTTTTGCCTTTCTTTTGACCCGGAGTTCGGGTCTAAGGGGCCTTGCTCTTCTTACCTACTGCCTGACGTAAATCGCTCGGATCGAACGCCATTTCTGCATAATAGTCACAAGGAATTATCCCGAGCACGAGGTAATGAACATAATAAAAAATAAAAGTAGCCATGGAATACATAGTCCCACCCTCGAGGCCTTTCATCCCTGCTAAATCGAGGATTTCATTTCCAAGGATGTCATCCATATCATACACGAGAGGCTTGAGATTCTCTAGCATCTGCATACCTCTCTCTAAGGACTCAAAATACGTCCGACCCACACAAAAGCTCGATGTGTCTGGAAAATCCCACTGAGGACTAAAAGGTAGGTCGGGATCTCAAGGTATGACGAAGAACCACTTGTCTTTCTAACCTTTTAAGGAACTAGGCATCCTCGTGACCCTAAACCCTCATCGGGTTGAAAGGCAGCAAAGCAGGTAAACTGGGGGAGTTGTTTCAGGTCGAAGACCATCCTACAGAGGTCGGTGTATGGGTTAATTCTTAGGTATCTACAGGCAATAAAGAAATAAATTAACATCATCCACCCATTTGGTACTAGCTGCCCCGGGCACATGTTGTACTCGACCATCAGTGCCACGAAGAAGGGATGCAGAGGCCACCTAAAACCCCATTTAAAGAATCTCTAAATATCACAAACTCTCCAACCTGAGCCCTAACCATCCTATCGCTATCCTCGGAGCACCTAACGTCACAGCCCGGCATAACCCCATATTCCCGAGCGCCACTGCTAGGTGCTCTTTAAATTTACATGGTTGGTCGGGGTAAGTGAAGGGGATCGAGTTGGCCTGAGCTCGAGGCTGAACGCTTATAGGGACAACCATAGGAATGATCGACCCTCTCTGGTCCTCAGGTGATGTTCCTGAGGAAGAGGACGAACTATCACTATCACTACTCGACATCCTAAGCTGAAACGACCCAAAAATAAAAGACTTAAGTTCTCGAGCTCTTACCTTAAAACTCGATCTCGAGGAGGGCGAAAAGAAGTTACTGAGAGTGAAAAGTGAAAAATGAAAGGGAAATTGAGTATTTATATCTCTCAAAAGGGGGAGGCCAAGAGTCGCCTCCCCAACCCTCATATCATCACGTGTCATCAATCCAGTGGTGGAATTCTAACCGTCCTTATTTCACTCAGGATTGGCGTCATCGTGACGCTAGCCCTCGAACATGAGAAGAATTACGGGGGCACATCGCGGCATCAAGCATCCTGAGGACACTGCCTCCATCCTCGAAACTCGAACATAGATGCACGGGTGCCAGTGATGTGGTCATAAATGTCATACCCCGAGCATGAAGACCTCAAAGGATCCTCTTTCTTAGTTACGGAACTTCACTCCTCGGGGTATGTGACTTCCTCGAGACATCTCGAGGATGGACCACCCAGATTACCCTTAAAATCACGTTAGCACTCCTCAAGATAATAATGGTCGGGATATTTACTTGGTCAAATCCCCAAAGTACTCCTCAATTAAGAGACAGTAGTCCTGGTACAGAAAGGATCCTAGCTCTACCCCATCACCCCTACTTAGGAATCCTAGGTCATAAAGGAGTCCTATCTTGGGTAACACTTCAGATAAGGAAGGTTTGGACTCTTATATACATTCCAACACTTATCCCTATAATCACTCCTAAAAACAAGGAGATGAGCCCTACTTGAACTACACTACCCACCTTTATAAATACATCATTCTCATTCATTGTTCAGGTACGTTTTTACACACATATATTCAGCCTATATTTTCTCTTAAATTCTCTGTCTGACTTAAGTGTCGGAGGGCCGACGAGGACACACCTCGACGTCTTTGTTTCAGGTACTAGAAGATCTTGTTCGTGCTCGGCCTCAATCGTTAAGCTCGGAATTCAACATGTGCGATTTTTTGTAGCATCAGTTACCATTGCCAAAAAAAAAAACTGGAAAACCATATTCCTACCAAAGTGGTGGAAAAACCAATTCTATTCAGGTACGTTTTTACATACATATATTCAGCCTATATTTTCTCTTAAATTCTCTGTCTGACTTAAGTATCGGAGGGCCGACGAGGACACACCTCGACGTCTTTGTTTCAGGTACTGGAAGATCTTGTTCGTGCTCGGCCTCAATCGTCAAGCTCGGAATTCAACATGTGCGATTTTTTGTAGCATTAGTTACCATTGCCAAAAAAAAAAACTGGAAAACCCCAAAGTGGTGGAAAAACAAATTCAATAAAAACCTGGAAAAAGGGGTCATGTGGAGGGGGGGGGAATGTTTTGCCAAGAAAAATTTGGCTATCAAACAAAAAGAAAGTTGGAACTTGGAAACCATGGAAAATAGTAAAGGTCAAACAAGGACTAATTTAAGTCAAAATCAATAATAAATTTTAATCATATATTTCATGGGTCCCACAAATTTTCAATCACAAATTTCATCAATTTTTATCAAAATTTATTAAAAATCCGATTTTAATCCCCACCAAATATGGGTTTAATGTGCATCGAAATATAAGTAAACTGTGACTAATGTCATTGTTAAAAACATAATCCTCGTCATATGCGCATCCTTCCATTTATGATAACCAAAGTTCTCTTAATCGTAGAAAATTAGATATATTGAGAAATTACATACTATTCCATGAAAATAGAGGTAATTGGTGCAAAACAATTCTAACTTTTTATTTTGGCACAATACCATCTAAATCAGGAAAACATTGCGAAATACAACATTGTCGTCCAATTATGCTAAATTCAACTATTATCTGGTCGAGTCCACTTAAATTCCTTAAAATGCCCAATGACTTTTTCATCAGAACTACTCTCTTTATAATTGAGGCGACAGAGACATCTATAGTCGCCTCAAAACACCTATATTTCCCTAGGCATTGGGTTCACCCCCATCGTCTTGTCGACGATATAACTCTATACATACCTTTCACTTCTCGTGTCCAAGGCGATCAACAAGAACCTAACCCCTAACTACGTTGGACAGGCCTCTAGCATCCGAGGCGATTAAGGTCTGAAGCTTGATGGCTTAGAACGACTCTAGTATAACATTTAGAATAATTGCAATGTGATTGCTGTGACGTCTATGTAATGATGATTGTGAATCCAATCTACTCTTTCACGTGTGAGAGATCACGTGCCTATAAAGGTTAGAACGATACGTTTCAACAAGAATTCTAACGACTAATTTAAATCAAAAATATCAAGATTTATTTTATTAGGATCTCAATAATTCCAAAATCCTTGACCGAAGTATTGAAGCTGTCATCTGATACGAAGTTCCTCGTATGCTGTTGTCGAGCAGTTGGACTCCATTACTGTTCTAGAGTATTATTTTATTTTATTTTTTGCTTTTTTCATTTTGTATTTAAAATTACAAATATACTAATAGTAATAATTCACAAACAGTCATTTATAATGTGATGCTAACAAAAGAACATAACATAGATCCATTGCCATCTCTTAGAAGTTTATCAATTATCTCTCTCTCCCAGCAGAATTTCCACAAACAATATTCAGTACACACCATCGACATTCCTCGACCATAAAAGATCGGTCGACTGAGAAATGATGGGCAATATCTAAGCAGGTTTTGGCGCTAAAAACGTCAGTTTTTAATTAACTTTAAACTACAGGCTACGTAAATTTTAGGGTTTCCTGTAAACTAGTGGTTAGGTTAAACCTTGTACTTCGTTTCGCAAGACTTCATTGACTACTTTGAATATGCTCCGCTTGCCCAGAATACTGAGACTCGTGGCCTCCGCTTTGGTCATCCCGACTGGACCTTGGATCTTCTTGTTCTGGATATTCACCAAGTCTCTCCTGCAGAACCATATAATTCAGTACAAAAAAAATAAAATAAAATGTAGAAACATGTGCAACACTATTGTAATGAGTTTGCTTTATGAAATCTTGCTTTGCAATCTAAGCATCAGACAATACCTTGAGAGCTACATTCTGAGCAAGAAGCTGCTCATACTCACTCCTAATACGAGCAACCTCTGCTCTAAGAGACGCATTTTCTTCTTTCATAGCTTCAGCACGCTGGGCCAGTTCATCACATTCTGCCTGAGTCCCATGTATGGAAACAAAAAGTATCAGGGATGAAATCGATACAGGCAAAGCAACTTTAAAGTGGGAAATAACTGTCTCACCTGTTTTCGCAATCTGGATCGACGAGCTGATTCTCTGTTTGACTGCTTTCTTCTCTGCCTTTTGATCTCTCTTTCATCCTGAACTCAAGGAAAGGTAAAGGTGGTTGGGTTATAATCACTGAAAGAGATGGATTAGAACACCAGATAAATTATTCTGTCAATGAGAATGCTGATATCCAATTACACATCAGTGTTAACCATAAGCAATTGCAAAGTAGTCTATTGAAGTCGGGGGGCCCACCCCACCCAACATCTGCACAAACAAAAAAGAAAAGAGGGAAAAAAATCCCATAATATAATAATTGGCACTGTTCTTGCTCCCATTGGATTCGATTATTGCTGGTTTTGCTTAATTTGCATCTTTTCCATATGTTCACTTAGATTCTTCCCAACATTTACCAGTACAGTGTCTGAAAGATGATAAACAAAAATGAATAAAAAATTCAATTTATGAGGAACCGAGATGTCAAGTCCATTTATCACTTCCAGTCTTCAAATCAGACACCCTAAACAAGACATTTGATAAAATCAGTGGTATTAAACAGCTGGAGAAAATAAAAAACCTGAACTCCATTGCTGCATCTGGTCCTCAACGAAGAAAAAATTAAAATAACCTAAAAACCAGAAGCACCTCAAGATTTTAAAAACCTCATGCAACATTTTATTCATCCTGGAATTCCCAAAACTAGGAAGAATTTATTCGCCAGTCATAAAGATGAAAATCTGAAAACCTTATCACGTTTAATATAAAAAATTATTTTTTCCCTCGATTTTCACTAGGCCAAAATGGTTATAGTCACGCCACTGGCTCACTACTGAAGCAACTTCTACCCACCATTCAGAGACTTGCCTTCAGTCTCATAGAAATAACCAAGTTTGCATACAGCACAATACTGGGTCCTGCATTTTAATCTTACCCAAACTGACTTGATACTACCAGTTTACCAGCTCACTTTTCAAAGTGTTAAGTACAGGCCAAGATAAAAGGGAAAAATAATAGATAGATAGTTTCAGAGTAAAGCCACAGCAGTTACTAGCTGTTGCTACCTCAGAAGCTTACTTCTAGACCATTAGCGCAACAATAAATTCAAGTTCCAAAATTATGCTAAGTACATGCAAGTTGAAGTCCAAGATAAAAAAAAAATAATAATAATAATAATTAAAAAAATATATCGAATATGAAAAAAATTAGCTCGTATATGAAAATATAACTCAATTGTACCTTTTCCGTATCGGAGTTTCTTTGTAATTATTCTGGGGTAATTTTCAGGTATTAAAAGAACAAAAAATTAAAAGGGATCAAATCATTGTTTTCTATTTCAAAAATTGGAAAATGGTTAGATGCCGGACCTATCTACAATGTGAATGTGTTTATGTTTTATGTTTTTTTGTAAACATTCTCTAACTTGGATTGAAGTATATATTAACAATAGCCAGCCTTAATCAGTATATGCCTCATCTCATGATACATCAAAATACATGGCTAATCGCATCTTCTGTCATAAAATGTCATTTCAATGCAAAGACATGAAAATTTTTTTAAGTTTGTAATAATCGGCCAGTCCATAAAAGTGGAGGATACAGTGGAATAAGAACAAGCTAGATACGTAGGTATAGCATTTGCAACATTCTATATCCAACTTTCAAACCCTGTCTTCAAAAGCATATCAATTCAATCACAAAATGTGTTTGACAGCAAAGGAAAAAATATAGTGATGCATTCAGTTAAAATTAACATTAACAATCAGATAAGCTATGTTGCTTGAACTTGGGGGCGGGTGTCGGATATAGATTCATATGTTGAAGTCGGTTCCTTTTTTTGTTTTTCTAATTCTAGGATACTGGAATACAGCAAAAGAGGATCTAAATTTTGGAAATGGGTACATGGATTCATCTCACAAACGTGAGAATTGTAGAAACATACACAAATAATTTTAAAAACTACATGTTTTAGGGGTGTGTGTCTGTGTGCGTTTTATTATGTTTGATTATAAAATTAAAACATATTTAATTGTGATGCATCGCAAGGTTATCATTGTAATTAATTGTGAAGGCACCCTTTTTCTTAGAGTGAATTGACAAGTAATTATATGGACAAATAACCCACCAGAAACAAAGGAGAATAAAAATTATCATTAAAATAAAGAGAAGAAAACCTGTATCCAAATCTGTGATTGGACATTGTCCCGTGATCCAGCAGTGACCATTCCTCCGGCCACTGGAGCAGAAGACACCTTACCACGCATTGCAGGAATAGCTGATGGTGGAGCTGCAGCCCAGTAGTCCATACCAATATTAAGGTTAGTGGTGGGGCCAGGAACACCACCTGCACCGCCAGACACTGACATGATATGTACAGGTTGATTCACCGTTGAATGGGGTGTATTTGGCCCTCCATTATGAGAACCATGTGTACCACTGCCATTCTGAGATGCTTCTCCTGTAGCAAAGATAAAATAACAAGGTTCATAAGTAAAACACGTAGCCAAGATTAACGGTTGCAATGGAAGTAAACATTCTTTAAACTGCACCTGAATCTTGCTGGCCTCCTGACTTCATTTGTGAGTCCTGTAGAGCAGAACAGTACAAATATCAGAAGAAATTAAATCATTTGATTTTATTTTGTGCTCACTTGGATAAATACTAGACTATTTCCTCATAAGAGTAAAAGAATTGCCAACGTCATTCAGAACACTTTTCCTGAACCATACATCTCGATTTTAGGAAGATTAACAAGGAAACTTTCGAAGGTAAGCTTTAAAATTCCCTTTTTCCTCTATTAACCATATAGTATTGTCAGCTAAAAGAGTATAGAATTTACATGAAAATCTATGAGCACAGTCTTCAACTTACTGACTAATTATAACTGGATAAGTTTTAAATGCTCTACACTGGTAAAGGAAAAACCATGGTCAACTTTAATTAGAAGTTATAAAGGACTAGTATGCTAAATGGTATGCAGATGTTCCTTTCTTAGGTGGTGATGCCAAACAAATGGCACTCTATTCAATGAATATACAAGAAAGGCAGGGTCATCTACACGAGATGCAACTACTGCATCAAGATCAATGGCTTATTCTGAAACCTCGCCTCAACTTTAAAGACATAAATGTAAGTAGATGACCATCACATGACATTAGTCTGATAAAAATTCGAGAGAACCCAGCAAGTTAGTAATTCTTACATTTTGAGAATTTGCGTCGCTTCCTTCACTTGAACCTTCACTTGCACTCTCAGCACTGCAAATTGCATATACGGAAATCTAGTTATTAATGAACTGAAATCATTCACATCATATTCCCACCCATTTTAGGCATTAGCATTAAAGATATAATAGTAATTCAACATGTTGTTGTTACAATAATTTGGAATAGTAAAATAACAAACCTGAGAAAGGGGGGTAAGAACAGAAAGAGAGAGAGAAGGCATACCAGAGGGAGAGTAGTCAAAGACCTCCCCCACACACCCAACCAAAAAAAAGAAGATATACAAATATTTCTATAGTTCTGAAGAATAAAAAGGTGCGCACTTACAGTCACACATGTAAGTAAAAAGAAACAACAATTACACATCAAAATAAGTAAACATAACAACAATTTGCAGGATCATTTTAACACTGACTAGTGAAACTTATTCATGACCATTACCTTTGTTCACAGATTTACTATACCTTTTTGAATAGACACCATTTGCAGATGGTCCTGATATTTTACTGGGTTCACTGTTCTTCCCAGTAATCATGTTCAAAGAGCCCAAACTCCCCTTGGATCTTTTGATAGGAAGTTTTTCCTTCCCCTCAGATGACTTGCCATCCACCTCCATGTTTCCAGGTGCATTACCCTATTATTATATTTATGATATTGTTTATGGAAAGGCTCAATCAGTAGCAGCATTAGAAATCATGCACATTATACAAAAAAAAAGGGAAGGGAAATATAAGTGTGAAGACAACTTACAGAAGCTTCAGCAATACCAGTTGGAGACATGGCAAAAGGACTGAAAGGATAAGACCCCTAATTAAGTTTAAAGCAGAATACCAAAAAGTTAGCGCCCTTCAAGTAGAGGATTTTAAATAATACTAAAACAATATCAACAAGAAAATACCGGAGGCATAGTTGGATGTGCATATACACCCCCATGAGGATACATAGCGACATATGGATGTGGTGGAGTACCGTAGGGCGGCATAAATTGCTGTAAGATAAGAATTTCAAACAAAAATTAGTGAATAACAACTAGGAACATAAGTCTAAAAGGTATAGGTAAAGTAACTCCTTCTAAAAGAAAATTGCTAACTACTTTCCATATCAAGCACTAGTTCCGAAAAAGTACCATCAAGTTGATGTAAAACCACCACAATCTCAGCTTTCCAAAGTCGTCCAAACTCACAGGCATTTCAATAAGAACAATTATATGTTTTTGATTCTCCTACCTCACGGGTTTTCCAATATGAACAATTATGAGTTGGATACTCAATCAAAACTAACCCAAATAGATGGCAAAGATTTCCCAGAAGTGGTCAACAAAACAACAGTAACGGTTAGGAAACTGTTGAGAAATGTTTAGGAACATACTTTCTTAAAAAATGTATAAGCCATTGTAGCAACCAAGCAAAATATACGATCCACGTAGAGAACTGAGAAAGCTCTGTTAAACAAAGTAGTCAAGTTGATCGACCAAATTGAACTTACTTCATTTCTATTTCTATTTTTATTTTTTCTTTTCCTTTTTCGGCTTTTTAGTTAATACATTTATTTCCTTTGTTGAGAAGAAACTCCGGGTAGTTTTATGATGATTGTATGTGGCAATTGGCACGTAACATCTAATAAGCCAATACCAAACATAAATGGGAAATATACCTGAATTCCCCACATATAGGGATGTGCCTGAGGGCTGGATGCCAAGAATCCATGTGGAGGCATAGGAGAATATGCCTGCACAACCATAACCAACAACCTATAATAATGTTGAGAAAGGAGGCATAAAGTCCAAGTGGCTATCTTTTAGAAACTTTAACCTGAAAGCCAGACCAGTCGCCAGTAACCGTGCCTGTGCCAGTGCCCGTAACTGAAGGCTGCTCCTAGAAATTCCCACCAAAAAGTAACAAAAATAAGTAAATGAAAATTTTCATTTTCTGCTATTGCTACAAGCCTACAACTCACATGCATGAAAAAAGTGTGAGTATCATATTACCTGTGAAGTAGGAGTTTTGGGCTCCTTCGCTTCCTTCCCCTCCTTAGAGGATTTGTCCATCTCACTACTGCCCATGGTTTCAACTATGCGACCTCCTCAAATATCAAAATCATGCTGTTACAGCACATTACAGCCTTATTTTCAAAAGGTTAAATAAAATCACCAATTTAAAGTTCAAATAAATATACAGAGATTTCCATGTATATTAACATGGGGAAAAAGACAACCTTATTTTAAAAGTTCAACTTGAAAATTGGTCCAGTAAAGATATGATTCAGATACAAAAAAATAAAATCTTTTTCAACCCTCCGAGACTCTGAAATGCTAAGATGTAATATTATAAACACCCGTGCTCTATATCACATATATTCTACTGGGGATCTGAGGACATTCTAGCAATAATTCTTCATTTGATAAGATTAATATGAAGACTGTTCAGAATATCTGATAATCCAATTACACACACTCTTAAGCAAATGAATAGTTATTCAACTCACTTTCAACAATCCATCATTACACAATAGGTTTCCACAAATCATAAACTAAATACAAAAATTATGCTCTAAACTCACATGAGTGTACACAGACACAGAAAAAGCCGTATATTCGCTTACCTAAATAATAATAATCAAAGCCTAAGATATTCGCGAAAATTCACATAAAGTACCAAAATGGAGCTTAAAACGAAAAAAGGGCTGAACTTGATGGATTTAAAATGTAAATTACCGAAAAACAACCGGCTTGACTCGTTGAATCTGAACACAGTGAGTCAATTCAGCTATCCACAACAGCTCAAAACGCCCTTTTTCTTTAGCTATAAAGAAAACCCAGTTGAACGTACACCCAAAAAGATTTATCTATAAAGAAAAAGGGCATATACAATTGCTAAAACTCAATTTCAGGGGCAAAAATTATGGAAGTTTTTACGTTAAAGAGAAATAGGGAAATTTGAGAGAAGATTTAATAAAGAGAGAAAAGTTTAGGGCTTTGTTTGCTAGATCGTCGACATGGTTTGTCGTTGTCCCGAGGATTTACACAGAGAGAGAGAGAGAGAGAGAGTAGCAGAGTTGGTGGCCGAGCATATATCAAGTAGGTGGATGATTGGAGGATTTGATGAAGCAGTGAACAGGATCAACGGCTGATATGGGGAGTTATTTTTCGCATTTGATGATCGGATGTGCCGTTATAGTATTAAAAAAAAAATAGGAATTTTGCACAATAGTCCCTAACTTATGGAGTAAAAAGTTTCATTAATAACTGAACTTTGAATATTGTCATATTGTGGTCACTGTTCTTTAATTTACTTCTGAATGGTCACTGAACTTATCAAAAGTGTTCTTTAATATTGACATTAAGTGCTAATTACCCTTTAATAATTTATTTGGAATTCGTTTGTACCTTTTTTTTTAAAGAAAATCAGACTATGATTGCAATTAGTTTTTTTTTTAATTTAAAAAGAATGGTATATTCGTAATTTCACAGTTTATAATTGATAAAATGGGTGAAAATATCTTTTTGAGTAATAAAATGTGAAAATAAGAGTGAAAATATCAAAAAATAAACAATATGAACATTTTTCACAATAATAATAAAATACAGGGACGTCATGGGCTAATTCCCCCATTTCTTTACTTGCAAATCAAACAAATGATACAACCCCATAGACGCAAATTAGAAGCCCCAAATAATTAATTCTCCCCCAACCACGAACCCTAGATCGCAAATTGATCTGCCAGAAATTGATTCAACACTGTGAAGGGAATCACCAAAATGCGAACGTCATCGGAATCACACAATCCGAAATCCGTCCACCCACAGTGAAGGTAATCCTTGATTCAACGATGTGAAAGTGCATCCTGAATTTCCTTTATTTGCTTCGACGAATATATATTTCGTACTCTTGAATTAATGAAATTTATTTCGAATATCGTGGCTGCACAAAATCAGAGAAAGAATTTAAATTTGAAAGTTATTTAATTTATGGATTTTGATAATTTGACAGTTAGTTTCTGGTGAAATTCGTTGATTACCTGCATGGGATTCGTATCCCTTTTTCTATTTTTGTGCTTTCATTTTCGAATTTGTTTCCCGAAGTCATAGCTCATGCTTTCTACTGGAAGTGAACTAAAATTTATGTTCGTTTTGTAAGTGGTAATGGCACGATCAATTCAATATTTCCTACAATGCTTTAATTACAGATGAAGGTATTCATTTAACTGTTGCATATTCAAAGTGCCTAGGATTTTTGTAGAGGATGCTGAATTAGAAAAATGTTGTTAGTGTTGCAGTCGTTAGTAGTTTGCTAATTACGTTGTACACGTTTCTCCTCTTTTAGGTGCTATGGTAGGGAAGATCAGAGGCGTTTGCCAGAGTTGTAGGAAGTCGAGGCACTTCTTGTCGGATTACCTAACAAAGATACGGTGCCCAAAATGTGGAGCGGGTTTTGACGAATGTATGGAGGTAGAGAAAAGAACATCAAACATAGGCTGATTGTTCTTTTGTTGTACTAAAGATTGTGATCATTTAATGTGGAAACCGGAAGGTGGGTCTATTGGTGATTCAAGTTGTGGTTGCTAGGGTACATGTAAGGTTAAACATCAGAAGCAAGATCTGTCGTGCATGTTCAAGCAATGGGCTATCATCACAGTGAAAAAAGACGTGATCTTCATTAACATCACCATCTGAAAGGGAAAAGAAGTGACGGGAAATCACAGCGAAGAAAAGGGAACAATTTCGTGAATTATTTCTACCAATGTGACGAGGCAAAGACTTTTGTTGGAGTTATCACACTCCATTTTTTTGTATTCGGCACTAAACTTGTCATACATTATGTTGTCATAAATTGTGTTTGATGCATGTCAATATCGTTTTAGTAGTTCACTTTGTTTTCCAGCTCTTATTGTATGTCGATGACGTAAACTTGTCAATGTGGTTTGTTTGAATGCATGAATAATCTATTGTGTTGTAGGTTTATTGTGTTTGGTTTTTATGACTTGACTTAGAGAACCATATTGCTATGTTGATATTATTTGAGTGGAGAGAATATATATGTAGAGAAATTCACGACTTGAGCTCAATCTATGTAGCTCATACGGAAAGCCAACTTGATTCTTAATAGACACTTGCTCCTGCAATAAAAATATCTACTTTCCACCTGCATCTAGTTCAAAAGTGCTCTCAGATATATCATATGTATAGCATTGATAATTACAGGCAAAAAGGAATTGATAATCACAGGCCATCCACATGTTAAAATATACAAAACATATACTACTTCATTACATTACAGACACAACATGTCATCTTCATCTGAGGCCATATCAACATCATATTGACAGAAATCATGTAATGCCCAAAATTCTATTAACTCAAGGCACTACTAAAGTCGAAATATCATGTACATAAGTATTCTCAATAAATGTCAAAATACTTAAATATTTTTTTTTTTAACTATAGCAAATTAGAACTAAATGCGGAAACGTCTTTTGAATAATTTGCTCACATTCAAGTGTCAATACAAAATTTGTAAAAATACTAAAACTTGAGATTAATTTGACAAAATGGAATCCAGCTATTTAAATACTTGTTTCAAAAATTTATAAATTAAATGGTCTATTATTTAATCAATATTGCCTCGTTCATTGCTTTGCCTTGTCGAACTCTTTAACCTGAAATGATGGAAAAATATTGGAATGAACATAGCGAATTATACTCAGTGGAGAAACAGCAATCAGTCCAAATTAAAACTATACAACATACTGTAGAAATGTGTGCTGTGGGACATTCCCAATGACCCAATTACGATCCCGGACCTATTTACGGTCTCTGACAACATGTTATTATCGCTTAACAAACTTTGCACTGTGGGACAACCCTAAAGACCCACTTTCGATTCTGGACCTATTTACAGTTCCTGTCAACCTTTTCATATGTATAAGCATTATATCACAATCAAAATTACACGTCAAAAATTATCATAGACAAAATAACCATAATTGTTTAAATATAAACCCCACTTCAAAATTTTGGAAATTTTCTTGAAATTGAACGGATGTGATGTTACCGTACTTTAAACTTTTCCCGCGCCCTCGTCTAGCAAGAACAAAATTAATATAATTTAGTATATTAAGTCCTAATTAATACTTTAAAACTTTTAGGGACTTGTTTGAACTTTTGAAAGTAAAGAAATGAATCATTTGATAATTCTTTAAATCTTTAGGGTCTAATTATCAAAATTAGAATGTTTAGGGCCAATATGATAAAATTAGAAAATGTTTTATATTTAATTTGAAGAATAGTTAAACTTTAGGGATGGTGAAAGAGTAAAAACTAAATAGGGGACTAACTTAAATTTTTGGCCAAACCTTAGAATTTGAAAAGTGAATTTTCCATATTTAATACCAAACCTCCCATTCCAAACCCACTTTCACATCACAGAGGAGTGCTGGTTTCGAAATCAAGCTTTGGCCCAAATTGGATTTTTACATTTTGAGGATTTTCAATTAAAATTGAGGCCGGGGGAAGGAAGTTTAATGTCAACGGTGGCTCGTGCGATAGTATTCCAAGCGAGAGAGGGATAATAAAGGTTGGGTTCCATCCTCCCGTGTGTGTGTGTGTGTGTGTGTGAAAGAATGTATGAATATTGGTTGTGTTATTGGATTGAACCGAGATGGAGCATGATATTAAACTCAGAGATTTCATCTTCCTTCTTTTCGTTTTTTTTTTTCGTTTATGGATATAATGAGAAGAAATGGAGATTATAAAATTCCAATGAAAGCTGAAAATTAGTTTCGAGAGTTACCTGCACAGATTTGTCGATGCCTTGAGTTCGAATCTTGGGGGACGCGTCAAAAAGCTGTGAAGGGATAAGTTGGCAGAAGTCTACCCCAAAGCGGACAGTACGTAAGATAACGGCTCTGGTGAGAGGTCGGGTCATTACAAAAAAGCCCAATTGGTACCAGGATTCCACTTAAGTGTCCCTTATGATAGAAGTCTTGGGTTCGAATCCTGTGGGACGCGTCAGAAAGTCGTGAGGGGATAAGTGGGCAGAAGCCCACCCCAAAGCGGATAGTACG